AGGAATAGGAGTGACAGCGTATGAAGTGTGAGTTTACTTAATTGCTGTGTAGAGAAAGTATATAAGTACCTTTCCAAGGTCACTCAGAGAATGCAATCCACATAATTTTCCTTTCAAGAGTCACCCTAGTTTATGCTTAATTAAACTATGCAAGCTCTGCACACTCTAGAAAATGCCCTTTTTATTACATTGTAGGCAATTTGCATTTCTGAAGGGCATTTGGGAACCATGACATCACCAGAATGAAGGGCTTCTGGTAGCCTTGCTCCCATCTTTATTCATTTGCAATTGTTGACTTCTACTCCAAAGTTCATTTCTATTTCCTGCTTGGACATTAGCACTGGGTTGTACAAGAATGCTCGTTTTCCAACTTCAGTGGCTGTTTCAGTTCTGACTCAGCAGCCCCTTGGGACTGACTCATCATTCAGCTGTAGGTGTGCCCTGACAGTTAATCCTCCATTTTGGTCCCATGAATGAAAGGCCAGTGGGTCAGGAAAGTACTCACCACCCAGTGCTGATGGGGTCAGTGTGGATGGAGCCTGGGCTGGCACATGGAAGGAGGGAGCAGCACTGCTCTCTGCACATTGATCAATGTCTTCCATTTCTTTCTTTCTGATCTTGCCTGTACAGAAGTAGGTTTTGCCGGAGTTTTATGGAAAGCAAAATACCGATGAGGCCAGGTTTACTTGGGATGCTTCTGACAGCAAGCTGGAAATAGAAAGAGGAAACAGAATTTCAATCAGCAACCCTGGTTAATGGCATCTGCCTACTATTTGTTTGCAAACTCTGAAGTCCAGGGGTCTCCTTGAATCCCCAGCTTCTCCTGGTTCCTGCTGACAGCATTTTCTGACTCTGCTTTGTGCCATTAGCATCTGGGGAGAAAACTGCAGGCCTTTCATTTCAGAGGAAGGCTCATTACAATTATCCGTGCCTCTGTCACCTCGGGATCTGATTATGGTGCTGGGGTTGCACCTTGCAATCGTTACAATTAAGACTTAATGAAGTGAGTAACTACAGAGTCCTGCAGTTACTCCCCACAAACTTACTGCAGCTACCTTTATCAGAGGAATAGCTACCACCCAATTTTTATGATTTTTAAATAGTGAAACCTCATATTTGGAGCTTGTTCTATAAAACCCCACACAGCTGGGACTGTGAAAGCCAAGGCAGCTCACCTTCCCTGTCACAATACAGACTGGATGAGCTTGCTGTTGACTGAAGATGGGTGTAGGTCAAAGAAAAAAAACCGAAACAACAAAATTCAATGCTTTTTGGGCTGGAAAATAAGGAAATCCTGGACAACAACTGTGTGGGGAGGCCTATGCTCCCTTCCATGCTGAATCCCAGTCCCACACTTTATGACAGAGCAAGTATGCAGGTGCAGGCAGCCAGTGTGCCTGAGCCAGCCCACTCCAGCATTGCAGGAGATCCATGGCTACTCCGTGGTTTGTCCCACTGTGCATTAAGGATGTACCTGACCTAAGCCAGAAGAATAAAGTGAAATACGGAACAAACTGACACTTTAATGGCTTCTTGCCACCTTTGCTTAAAATGGAGTGTACATGTGTGCAGACACACTTGCCAATCCTGTGCTGCCTTGCTAGTAACAAATAGTGATTGGTTCCTTTACTTTTCTTAGACATGGATCAAGACAGATTTGGGGGTAAAATGGAAGGTAATAGAGAGTTTATCTGCTTTCAATTTTCTTTCTTTCCCCTTTGCCCCCAATTTATTTACCTCTGTCTTCCTAATCGCTGGGAGATTATTATGTCTGAATCATCAGACTTGAAGAACCATATGCCATTTCCCCTTAAATGACAGATGAGATATTTATCTTTATTGTTGTAGGGAGTCTCCTATCCACATCTGCAGGTCAGTTGAGGATAATTTGTCTTCTGATATTTTTGATAGACTATCAATGCGAGCTGGCTGGAGCCAATCATGGCCCTTTGGTGTCATGGACAGAGGAGAACAAAGAAGTTCTTGTAGCTTGGCACCAGAAGCTCCAGGACTCTTGTCCTCAGTAAAGAGACCAGCTGCCTCATGGAAGGTGTGGAAGAAAATGCTAAAACTGCTTATCCATGAAAGTAATAAACTAAAACCTTTTTTAAAAAGATACTTATTTCAGTGTCCTGCTCTACTCTGAAATATTTTGGCAAATGTGACCATGGCTTTGAACATGGTACTGGTAGCCTCTATGATTTTGCTTGGTACACAGGGGTTGCAGGAAGTATTTCTAAAATGCCTAGTGCTTTAGAAAGACAGAGATTTATAGTAGCAAGAGGCAAGGGGGATGAAGTTAGGAATAAGTTACTTGCTGATGTGCTAACACTGTAGAGGTGGGGGGATGAGAATTAGGTTTTGAATTTGGGAGTTCAAGATGAAGAGGCTGAAAGCTCAAGGCTGCCAAGTGGAGCTGTGCACATTTTTGTCATCTGATTATAGACACTGGGCCTCTTCGGGGAGGTCCACTTCAGTGACTGCTGGGAGAGAAGAATCCATTTGCAGTATGTGGACTGTAGAGAGAGCTGTGCAAGTCAAGGAGAGCTCTCTGCAGTGAGAAATGCCACACATTCGCTGCAGTCATCAGTAGAGACGTGCTAGATTCCTTGGGAAAAAAATGCAGGAATATTCACTTTTACAGTTGTTATTCAATTCCTTTCTGGAATTGTCTTTAGTGTTGTTGTCTTTAGTGTTTGCTTTCCTGAGACTCCTCTCCAGGTTTTAGTTAGTGAGCTGAATATTAATTGTTTTCTACCTTCGTTGTCCATGTTGGTCAGACCTGCAATAGGAAGGATTGTCAGAAACAAGGCATTCAAGTATTGGAATGTCTGTCATGACTGGAGACAAACCAGAAAAAGTCATAAAATCACAGAATGGCTGAGGTGGGAAGGGACCTCTGGAGGTCATCTGGTCCAAACCTCCTGCTGAAGAGTTGGTTGCTCAGGACCACGTTCAGAAGGACCAGGTTTTGATCTCCAAGGATGGAGACTCCACAACCTCTCTGGGCAACCTGTGCCAGTGCTTGGCCACCCTCACAGTGAAAAAGTTTTTCCATTTGTTCATTTTTTGACTTCCACTCAAGTCCTTCCTAGGGAAGGAGAGCAAAGAAGAAATATACTGCTTATAACCACTTTCATAGAAAATCCAGCTATTCTCTGTTCCTCTTATCCTCACAAAAATGTATGTAGATGAAATCACTTCCATGTCATTTGCAGCACCAAAGTGTTCCTAAGTACAGACTTAGCTTGGTGACCTTGTAGTGAATGTCGGCAGTCAGTTAGCACTGGCACTGGAGCTATTTAGGAAGTAATGAGTTGGCACAGCACACTAACTTCTGGAATAACTGGGAGCTTTAATGTCTGCTGCATGCCCCACATTGTGGTATAATTTAGGGAAGAGAGTGAGTCACTCCTACTGCTTCCAAGTGCAGCCCAAGATACGGAGTTTGTCTTCACTAAGAACATCTCAGACTTATCTATGTGTTTCTTCCCTGCTGTGCTTCACCCTCACTTGTCTACACCGACAGATAGCTCAGGATCTACCTCTTCAACTGAAGAAGACCAGCTATCTGTAGTTATACACAAACACTGACACTGAGGTAAACGTTGTAGAAATTATCTAGAGTCATAACAACAGTGGCAAAATGGTATTTCACAAACCCACTGATCTGAAGTAGGTCATGAGTTGCTGACAGTTGTCTCTCCATGAATGGGCTAAGAAGAATGCTTATTGGGCCCTCTTTCTATTTGTAAGAGCCTGAGTGGTAGGAAAGCTCAACCCTCCTCAATTCTGAGGGGACACAGGGTCTGGTATCTCAGTCCTGGGGCTCCCCAGATCCCACACTTGGAAATGAGAATAGATAAGCAACGCCCTTTGTTTCTTGGAAGTGATGCTGGTTATTTGGCACAGACAGCATCCAAAGGTGTCCAGGTCTTTGGGGAAAAGACAGACAGAGTATTATAAGCAGTGGGTTTTAATTCCTCTGAGCAACAGAAAATTGGAATAGGAGTTCCTTGGGGAGCAACTCCTCCCACCTAGGGAAGGCACCAGCATGTGTCAACTGCTCCTGTCACTTATTTTGTACAAAGCAAATTTCAGTCAGAAGCACCTGCTTTACATGAACAATTCAGCAAGAGAAACTGGGAGAAAGTTTGTTTCTGTTCATAAGGATGGGGTTTAGGCCTTCCCTTCCTTTATTTGGTAAAACCTGGCACTTGTCATCAAGAAATGAAGGCACAGAACAGACAAACTGTTTCATGTGGGAAAGCAGAAAGGATGTCTGGATGCTCACAGTTCCTTTCAGCACTCCCCGCTCTTTGCAGCATGACCTTGAGTAGTTACTGGAATGCGCCAGTAACTCAGTGTGTTGGCAACCCTCCAGTTACAGGCACGACCTCCAGTAGGTATCAATCCTGCACAAATCTGTATCTTTGTTTCGTGCTCTCAAATCAAGACCAATCTCCCACCCGATTCCTCTGTGAAGATCCAAATATACACCTGTGAGGAGCACACAGCTTCAGTCTGAGGCAGCTTCTGAGAAAGACAGACTACTTCCTTCACTGACTTTGTTCTCTTGTGTCAACAAATCAAATCTGAATTTGCTCAGTTTAAATATATTTTCAGAAAAATTCACTGTTGGGTACATCCTATTACACAAATGTCTGAAAATCAAAGGAAAAATGATTACAAAAGGCTCCTATCTTCTCATTTTTTTACTGTTGCTTCTCTCTTTGAAATCTTTCACATGCAGATGTTGATGATTTGTCAAGCACACAAAAAACAGCTCTGTTTCTGCAGATGCAGGGAAACAGAATATCTAAGGAAATTGCGGAGAGTGAAGCAAATGAAAGATCTTTTTCAATAACATGCAAGGTTACAGAAAACAAAGATATTCATGAACCTTGTAAAATGGAATGCAAAGAAGTGAGATTGTACTTACTTTAACAAGAGAGCTTTCTTTCCTGTCTTTGTATTTAACCTCAAATTATTTTTGTTGCCTCCCATGGCAACAAATTCAATCCTTTGTAAACATATTTGCCTTTTGTGAGTAATATCTCTTACAGTAAAACATATGACACTTATTGTCAAGACCTGTAAAGGAGATACAGATAAAAATTCAAGGAAGGTAAAAAATAGCTGGTTTATTATACCATGTGTTCAGCACACCAAACTACAAACTGTTTAACCTCTTGTCTCTAGTCTGCTCTTCAGGTCAGCATGCATTTGAAGTGCTGCCAAGATTACATACTCCTTTTGCATGGACTAGAGATTGCTCAGTAGTGACCTCTCTGCCCAGTTACAGACTGGACTGAAAAATGACTGCATGTTGCTAGGGATTTCTACCTCATCCTACTTGGCTGCCTACTAAGAAAGACCATACAGGAAGTGATTACCAAGAGGTTGTTAGATGCCTTTCAAGAAACAGCATGAAAGAACAACTTCAGCTGGTGCAAACTGTGTTTGGTTTACTTCCAGGCAGATGCCTACGTAGGTAAGAGAAACACCAAGAGCAACATGTTTGATCCGTGGGATTGCAGCACTGCTGGGGAACAGGAGGAATGAGACAGCAGGGAAATTTGTCCATCTGACACGGGTGGATGGCTGAGGCAAAGTACTGCATCAACACAGCAGTTCTGGGCTGGTAGATCCTCAGGTCTCCACAGTATGCATGGGTTTTTTGGACTGGGCATCATTGCACCATGCACTGCTGAAGGTGTGCCACTGTGCTTCAGTGGCTGTAAATTTGGTGTCCTTGGCAGAAGCTTCAAAGTAAAGAAGTCCTCCTTTTTGCTTCTGACTCTTTGTGATGAAAAGGTTATTTCGAAGATCTTTCCTTGCTTAGTTCTCAATTCCTCTGTTGACACCTGAGATTTATGATAAGACACATGGGGTCATGAGCAGCTCAGGGAGTAAAAAGAACCCTGTCCTGGCAAGAGAGGTGGTTTCTGACGAGAAAGACCACACATTGTGCTGAGCCCTCTCAGCTCCTCTCCTTGATGCAATCCATGCCCAGAGATAGGATGGAGCAATGATGCAGATCTATACCTCTGCAGTAAGAGATGGTGCTGGCTGTGAGAGGAGCAGAGCTGGACTTCAGTGAGTTCTCACCTGTTTAACTTGCTAATAAATTGTATCATTATGGTGGGCCAAGCAGTGACTTGGAGCCCTGTGGGTAGGAAACAGACCTGCAAATACCAAAGACTACTGCTGCAAATTGTGAGGAGGGAAGAGTGAATGGGGAGGAAAAGTGGCCAAAGAGCTATTCTCTACATGGATGGGAAGGAATCTAAGCCAACTATCAAATTAGAGGAAAGGATGTCTTTCTCTTTATTTATATGTGCTTTCCTGCTGTGTTCTGAGCTTCTGACTGCATTCACTTCCCTCAGGGAAGATATCCCTCTTTGTAAACAACTTCAGGGAATGCAGTCAGATGTTCTGGACACACAGTAGTTGCATTCAGTCTTCTGGGGTCTCAGGATGCAGGTTTAGCCCATTCTATTACTTGTTTGGTTGCTCTAAGAACCCCAAACCATAACCACCTGATAGCATGGCAATGTAGCCAAATATTCCCAAGACAGTAGTGGAATACACAGCGGATTCAGTAAAAACCTTTGCAGAGTTCAGGCACTGCATATTTCCTCATAAGATTTGCATCTTACTCCATTGTGTGGTTGAGGATAATGGAAGTTTGAGACAGTGTTTTCAGGCAGTTTCTGTTCTAGTACTGCTGCGCAGTTCTGAGAGGACTTTTCACTCTGAATCCCACATTATCTATGCCCCTAGAATTGCAAGAAAAATGTGCTTAAGAAAACTGCAAAACAGTAAACATTGGACATTGTCACGTCTGATTTTCCTGACTACTGGTCTAGTTTATGCTCCCAAAGACCAGCCATTTATCTCCTCCTGGCTGTTAAAGCTCCTTTTCTCTCTTGTTCCCTTTTCCCACAGCTCTTTCACCCTACAATTGGTGTGGAGAGCTAAGACGAAAGACAGAAAAAAATGGATGGAAGAGAAAAAGATGAAAGACTTTCACCAGGAATTTCTTGTTGAAAGAAATGTGAGGTATCTCTGTGGTATGAGGGTAAGAAGGTATTTCAAGAAGTCTTCCTGTCTTTGTCTTTATTGTCTGTCATAGGTATTACTTGCAGGTGAGTGAAGCAGAATTATAGTGTTAGTCTGAATTTTTTCCTGGGACTACAACCTTCATGGGGTGGTAGCATTCAAATGGGGCTGACTTTGCTCAGTCTCTGCCAGCCCCACCTCTAGTCCCATTCCAACAGCTGTCTGAGCCATGTGAGTGTTTTTCAGCAAACTAACCCCCACTGGCACTTCTTGCCCCCTCTCTAATGATTTGATTAACAGGCTTGATTGAGCAACATCATCTTCTCAGAGCAGCCTCACATCACTGGGAGGGTGCAATGGCTAGTTTCCAAGCCATGCAGCATGGAGCACTAGGGCATAACAGCCAGCTTACAGAATCGTCCTGATACGCAATGACGAAGGAAGCAGGGACATTAGTCACAAGCAGACCAGGGCTTTGACAGTGACAGCTGATGATCTACAGCAACTGCATTTGGTTTGCAGTCAGTTCATGCTACACTTCAGATGTTTATATGTCTTTTAGAGATTTTTTGTCTTCTTCCTTTTTTTTTTTTTTTAATTATATCCACGGAATTATGCACATTGTTCCAGTTGCTGTGGATATACCAGACTGAAAAATTGTTCTCTTTCAAATCCCCGGTGGCCTGTTAAACCCCCAACAAGCAGCGAGGATTAATTCCTCCCCAGATAAGATTTTCCTAAACCCTAACAGATAATTTGTTTGAAGTTTAATTTTAGTCTGTTATTACACACACAGGGGCCTTATCTTCATGCAGAGTTGTTAACAAAATTAAACAAGACTCTGCAAACAGGAGAGGGAAGCATAGAAGAGCCCTAGCACCTGAGTGAAACTCAGGGTTAATGGAACTAATGGTAGGCTTATGCAGCACTGGCAAGTCCGAGTCCTCAAGGAACCTGTGATTTGTTATGTTCTTGCATGTATGACCCATGCAACTAAGGTACATCCTTAGATGGGATCCCATGATACTCAAGCCACCTCTGCTGTGGTCCATGTCAGGGTACCTATTCCCTGCCCTTCCTTCTAGTTAACAGAATGCCTCACTGCAGGGCTTCCCAACCCTTGCCCATCTCCCTGCATTGCAGCAGCTCTGGGTTTGCTCCCTTAGATGCCAAAGAAGGTATAGCAGCAGTGCACAGTGGAACAAAGAAGAGAAGAAAAGCAAGGCCATGTCACATTTTTTGTAATCCTTTGAAATGTAAACTGTATTAGTGGGACCACTGGTTGAAGTCTATCCTAATTGCTTTGCACTGTGGATCCATATCCCCACTAGTGGGCTGAACTCTTCCCTTCTGTCCACCCTGACACAGGAACTGGGGGACAATGTCACATCCTCATTGCACCGCTCTGTAAATAGGATTTGGGCCTTCACTCTCAAGGTGTCTGAACATTTTAGCACTGCACTCTGCTCCTGGTCAGGGTGATGTTTAAGGGAACATCTAGAATGCTGCCATTTTTATGCTATGTGACCTCAGTCGACAATGTCTGAATCAGAGCTCAGCTGAGAATGTCATATTTTGTATACAGTCTTGTCTTTATAAAATCAAGATTGTTTTTAGGCAGTGCTCTGGAAGCCTCCCTTCCCCAACTGCAGTGTGTGTAAAAATCCCAGATCTAGAAAAGGGAAAAGGGACTACAATTACTAGTGACTTTAATCAAGCTGGAAAAATAACAACACTGCCACTCTCTATCTTTAAATCAGTTCTTTCTTCTTTAGCACCACTAGCACCACCTGGGTCCCTCTTGCAAGTACATGACTAATTCTGCCGCACTGGAGCTGAGGGGGTTACTTGGAGCTCTTCAATTTTGGCATACAGTTAGGCCTCGGGATAGGATGGTGAAGACCTAAGTTGCATTTCCTACTCTTCCCCCATCCTTAGGTCCATGATCAAGTCACTTAGGGCTAAACTGATGGGAACGTCAGAGGGATGCCAATATGTCCCTTGGGCATCCAGCCAAAGAGCCTGGGGGCTGCCCTGACCCCTCACATAGCTCACAGGTAGAAGCAGGCACCTCAGAAGGGATGAGAAATTGTAGTGGCCATCCACAAACCACTCTATGAGGTTTCCACACCCAAGATGCAAAGCAAAGCACTAAGTGTGGATTTTAGCATTAGTCTCACTCTACCTTGGTTCCCAACCTTAACCTTTGATAATTATATTTCCTAATCATCCAGATGTATTAGCAACATAGTCATCTAATTTATTATTTACCTATGGATATAAAAGTAACTATTACTAATAGAATTCCTAATTTTTAAAGAAAAGATCATAATTCAGACTCTCTTTGTAATTCAGTTAAACAAAAATTAAGCAAGTCAGTCTAGAGTAAGATAATGCAGTAGTCTGCCTTCCACACACTCTACCTATATGTTCACTAGTACATTTATAGCTGTTAACTAGCTACTTCAGTGGTTACAGGTCTGCCACATATGTTTTAAGGACAAGGTAAAAAAGAGTGACTATCACTAGTTCCTCATATTTCTCATAAACATGAAAAATCTAGTATATTTCTACCACAGAAATGAAGACTTGTTAATTCTTGTAAAGGAGGAGTCATAAAGCCTCAAGACATGGGAAATCCTGTATCTGAACACCAAGATGATGCATCAATAAAACCTATTGAATTCAGCCATTACTTTTGATAATGGAGAATTGACTGTATAATTTAATTTAGGGCAGCCTGCAAAAAGAAGCTGTAATAGCCAGAAAATGCCTTCATTCTTCTTGCCTTATAATATGGGTAGGTCTGTGTAGGGTTAGATGGAACAGAGAATAATTTTTCTCCTGTTTAAATACTGCACAGCAAAAGAACAAGAGGCAACAGACACGAATTGGTGTAATGGACATTCTGGTTAGATAGAATCACAGAATGGGTAAGGTTGGAAGGGACCACAATGGAAGGGACCATTTTCTTCTCTCAACAGATAGAAGAAAGTAAATCCATTCAGCATGGGGAGACACTGCACTGT